ATGAATCAATAAAAAATGTTAAAAAAAAAAAAGAAAAAGAAATGAAGACTGTCTTTGATAGGCTTATTAGTAGCTGGTTGTGGTTTAGGAAAGAATTTGATCCCGAGAATATATCCACAAAATACTCAAACACAGTTTCTTACAAAACTAAAAATACTCTTTCCATATGATCCAGTAATCATTCTCCTTGATATTTACCCAAACAAGTTGTAAACTTAAGTCAATACAAAAACCTGCACACAAATGTTTACAGTAGTTTTATTCATAATTGCCAAACCTTGGAAGGAACCAAGATGCCCTTCAGTAGGTGAATGGATAAGCTGTGGTACATCCAGACAGTGGAATACTATTTAGGTAAAAGAAAGGGGCTATCAAGCCATGAAAAGACATGGAGGAAGCTTAAATGCATGTTACTAAGTGAAAGAAGTCAATCTAAGAAAGCTACATACTGCAGTATTCCAACTACATGACATTCTGGAAAAGGCAAGACTATGAATACAATAAAAAGTTTCAGAACTTGGGAGGAGAGATGAACAGGCAGTGCAAAGAGGATTTTTAAGGCAGTGAAAATATTCTATTGATGATATTAGAATGATAGGGGGAGGGTATAGCTCAAGTAGTAGAGCGCATGCTTAGCATGCACAAGGTTCTGGGTTCAATTTCCAGTACCTCCTCTAAAAATAAACCTAATTACCTCCCCCGCTACCAAAATAAAATAAATACAACAATAAAAAAAAAGAATGATGGATATAAATCATACATTTGTCCAAACCCACTGAATGTACAACATCAAGTGTGAACTCTAAGGTAAATTATGGACTTTGGGTGATTATGACACGTCGAATGTAGGTTTATCCTTGGCAAAAAATGCACCATTCTGGTGAATGACACAGATAATGGGGGAGGCTATGCAGTGTGGAAGCAGGGAGTGTATGGGAGGGAAATCTCTGTACCTTCCTCTCAGTGTTATTGTAAACCTAAAACTGCTTTAAAAAATAAAATCTTAAAAAGCACTATAAATGAAAATAAAACAAATTGAAAATTGAGATTAAAAATAAAGAGCTCTTACAGATGAGTAAGAAAAAGAAACATCAATAGAAACATAGGTGAAGGAAGGACATGACAAAGCATCCCACAAAAGAAGAAACTGCAAGTTTTTCAGCAAAAATATTAAACAATGTTAACCTCACAAATGAAATAACTAAAATTTTAATCATAAAAATTCATTTTCTACTTATTAGATAGGCAAATATTTAAAAGACAAATAATTCTAAATGTCAAAAGCACAAGGAAAGGGCACACTAACATTGGTGGGAAAACAACTGGGACAATGGTTTTGGAAGGCAGGTCATAAACACAGCATACTGAGTGCGAGGTGCACATTTTTTTCACAGTTTAACATCTGTGAAAACAGTATGCATTTTACAAGTGACTAAATCTCCCAAGTGTTGTCAGCCAAGCAGCAGTCACTGCCTCTGCATTCACAACCTGGTTATTATTCCCCATAGCACAACTGCACTACAGCAACCCCTTGGTGCTTCAGACAGTAAAAGATCATTTATGGCAGGATTTTAAGTCATGTTTATGGCCTGAAAACTTTCCTTTGATAACTTCTAGTAATGTTAAGAAAATACCAGGTTGCATATAACTTCAGTCTACTCAAATCCAAAATGAGGGACATTCTACAAAATAATTGGCCTTCACTTAAAAAAAACAAATGTCAAGGTCAAGAAACAAAGAAAAGCTGAGAAACTGTTCCACATTAAAGAGGTCTGATTTCCAAATGGAAAGAATTATGAATATGGGCTTTGGATAATAGTACTGTATAAATGTTAAATTCCCCATGTTTGAAAACAATATTATTGCTATATGAGAGAATATCCTTGATTTCAGGAAATACAGACTGAAGTATTTAGGGGGAAAGAGGCAAAATGTCTACTTTACTCTCAAAGGGTTTCAGTAAAGAGGGGAGGAATAGATAGATGGATGGATGGATAGCCAGAAAGACAGACAGACAGATAATGAGCAACCAAAATAAATGGGAAGAAATATAAAAAAACTGGTGAACCTGGGTAAAGAATATTATGGGAGTTCCTAGCACTAGTTGCAACTTTCCTGTAAGTTTGAAATTATTATCTCTGCTGCAAAATTCTAAGGAAACAAAGGTAAAGAAAATGTCAGCATAAAAATATGTAGCATAGGAATAGGTATCAGCAGCTTGGCAGAAAATCTTAGAAAAACAGTAGAAGTCTTTTCATAAAAATGCTGTCTCATCAACATGAAAAAATCAGACATCAACAAACCGAGTCAAAAATTGATTCTTCATTAAAATATAAAATCTTTTAGGAATTTCTCAGCCAATTTATCTTACCTGGGTACACAGAGTAGTTTACTCTGGGTAGTGGAATTTAGAATGATTTTCCCACTTTTATTTTTACACTTGTAATATAAAATACGAGTATGTTTTCTAAGAAATGTGTATTTTTCAACCTTCAAACAAGTAATAAAACCCTTTTAATAGGAAAAAAGATAATATTAAACAGTGACAGTGTTATGCCACAGTGACTTTGCTTTAAACACATTACACTGATTAATTTAACCTGTTTTTTTATAGATTTGAATAAAATAAGGAATAATTTCTCAGTGATCCAAAACGTGGTAAATGATTTAAGTATGATTTGAAACAAATTAATTTAATGTTGAGACTGATAAAAACAGAGTAATAAATTTCACATGTGAATCTAGAAAAGGCAAACAGTAAATAAATTTCAGATTGAATTATCCTTTCTTCAAATCATATTCATTTCACTAGTATTTTAATGCTCCATCGACTTTCAATTTTTCTATATAGGATGTGGTCTAGTTCTATTAAGCACCCTTTTTCTCATTATTCTAGAAATCAGTACTATTTTATAACATACGTGCTAAGTATTTAAAGAAAATTTCTTTAGTTATCCACTTTTTAAATTTCAAAAAGTAACTGCTTAAAAAAAGTAATTCTTACATTTTTTAAAAAGACAACAATTATCTTTTTTGCATTGTTGTTTTTAGCCCAAAACAAGGAAATTCAGTACTATGGAATCTTAAACCTCCTTCTTGAGAGGCAAAGCCTACATTATTGAACTCTCCAATTTGACAACAGAGCAATTTAAAATTTGGCCCTAGACTTACTGTGCCATGATTCTTCTGGAAGCGAATGACTTCTTGTTCATCTTCAAACGTACTGCCCATTACCAACTGCGTAACAGACTTCATAGCAAAACCAAGCATGTGCTGGCAGAGGGGTACATGCTGGGACTCTGGGTAGGAGAGCCATTTACCTAATAATTCTTCTGAGAGCTGAAAGAGAAGAGAAAACCACAATGACTTACTATTTCCTACAAATCTCAGAAAAATTCAGCAAGTAGATTCATTTCATAGAGTACACAGTTCAACTCTGTAATCAAAGCAAGCATTCAGGTGTTCACCTGAGCTGCCAGGCTAACCCAGTGCCACCTATTATTACATCCTCAATCGTTCAGGTTCAGATTCTGTCAAAGGGCTGATATGCAAAACAAAACAGAACCACCACAGCAATAAAAACAGAAAATATAAATTAAAAGTTCAAAGGCTGGGAAAACCTAAAACCTAAAGGAAATTAACAGACTAAAGTCTTAGTACCTAATTAAAAATAGTAAAGATCCACCACAGAGTGGCTGTGATACAGTAAACAATCAGTAAATATGTGAATATGCAAAAGTTCTAGACTACTTCAATGACACAAACCTCTCAGAGCCTGTCTCCCATTCCTTCATTCAATGAGTATTTGTCAAATCCCTTGTGGAATAAAAAAATAATGTATAGTAAAAAGATTAAAACCTTTGGAGTC